AAATGAAGTTCTCAGGCATGAATAAATCAGCTAAATGGACCGGATCGGCAGGCTTCTGCGGTGCTTATGCAACCCTAGATTGGTGCCAATCGCGGAACATAACAATGGTGGGGGAGAGGATATACCTTCGGCGGCGTGGTCACGGGACGCGGCGGGGAAGACACTAGAGGCCACCGGGGGCTTCGGGAGCCAGCGCCGGGGGCCCAGCCCGTAGGGCGACGCGCGCTGCAGCCCGCGGCGCGGCGGCCGCCTCGAGGGCCCGCCCCCGCCGCCCGACGCGTCCTCCGCCGCCGCCTCGGCCGCCGCGGCCGCCGCCGCCGGGGACTGCCAACGCCGCGCATCCATCATTCCCCCTTCCGCCGCGCCGCCGACCGCTCGCTCTGGTTTGGGGCTGTGGGGCTGTGCCTGTGCGCGCGGCGGCTGCGGGGAGGGCCGGACCGGAGTAGGACTAGTGGACTCTTGTTGCTCTCCGAGAAAGTATTTCTTTTTGTTTTGTTTTCTCGGGATGGAATGGAACTGAAATAGAAAGGGCGTGCTAGGGCTTTTCCGATCGAGTACACAGGGCTAGGGCTCACAAACTCAAAGATGGAAAGTTTTTTTTCCTTCTTACTAGTTTTTAGGCAAACTCTGAAGCTTTAAATTCAATGTCACAGTGTTTACAAGGACGAGATGAGGACCGTTGGGCTGACCTAACCAAACATGGCGGCCAGCCCCTAGGGACAATGTGTGCTTCACGAGTTTGTGAGCCTCGACATTCGAGCTGCTAAATTCATGGATAATATCACAAAAGAGTTTTCTGGTGTATGATTTCATGTATGATCGCCCTGTAGATCGTTGGGTTCTTCTGTTGTATGTCGTCCACTACCATTTTGCAATCCCGACGCCACTTGAATGCTCCTCTCGTACAAATCATCCGCTAAGGCAACGCCTCCCTGATGTGTAGTATTATGAAAAATAATGTTTTTCGATTTGACAACTAAATGCGGGACCATTGCTTGAATCCGCGCATGATCGTTACTCACTCATGCGGACTCCAAGAAGCTTTTGGTTACTGGGTGCAACCGATGAGAGACGTAGCACAGGTTATCTACAACCGGTTTGGATGGCGATCCAATAATAGGCTAGGTGTTTAGTCATCTTGGCATGTTTTTTTGCCGGTTGTGACAATTATTATCTTTACTCCTTTTGTGCTCCTTTTGTGAGCCAGTACTGAACCTAAGCCTTTGTTTTTGCACTATTGATCAATAAAATGGCCGCATGCATCACTCTGATGCAGGGCCGGAGGTTTTCCTCCTTTTCAACAAAATGCAAGCCCGCAATGTAACTGATGATTCCAATGGCAAATCCCATTTCTCTGTATATCCGAGCAGATAGTCCGGACACAAAACGTTCATTCAACGGGTTTCCCAAATTCGAGTAAAATGTTTGGATCGCCTCAAGCCCATATATGAGTGAGAAATGAAGATGTCTGAGCATGTCCGCCAGATTAGTCAGACACTCCGGGCTGATCTCAAACCCAAGAAAAAGTCCTCACTCTCTTTCCATTATATCCTCTCATTCTACTCTGATCAGTTGAGCAGAGACGGAGCTAGGGTTTGGGGTGCATCGGGGCTAGGGTTCCGGGGAGGAGAGGATAGAACATAGTGTGCATAAAGTGAGGACCAGACAGTTCTTTTTTGCTGGGTTTGTGATGGAGCTGGGATATCGGACAACCTCATGTCTCTCCCACATATGCCTAGGTTTTGGGAGAGTCTCAACATTTGGCCTGACTTCATTGAAAATTGTTTGGCATGTGTTTTTGTGTATGGACGTGTTTCAATTGTCCACACTAACACATTAGGGGAAATGGGCCCCTTCCTTGGACATGCCCTTGGAATTATTGTAATTAAATATAAGACATTTTTATAGTTCAATTAGTAAAAATACAATCGTTCGTAATGTAGGAAAAACAAAGCATTTTTTTACGAGCAGAAGTAATACATGAAAAAATAGTACAAATAAATTATTAGAAAAATTCCTAGTCATTTCTTAAGAAAATACCCACTGGAAAATTCTTAAGAAAATCTTTTGAATGGAAAAACAACACTACTTTTTTTAAACAACGAACAACCTTTGACAATCCCTCCCATACTTTTGTTTATAGCTTGCCTTATCATTCTACAAAAATATTTCCACCCTTCATACCTTGTCACTCGGCATGCTCTCTCTCCCCCTCCACTGGTCATCCTCCTCCTATGGTATCTTAACAAATTTGAATAATTTTAAAAGTTTATTATTGCAACAACGAAAACCACAACTAACAACATCTGTAAGAGAAATGGAAAACATCTTATGACGTCTTCAATAGTATGTGCAATTTTGTGTGTTGTAAACTTGAGATGCCCACTAGGTGAGTACACAAAGCAACATGATCACTCTAAATCAACATAATCAAACACACTAGAGGCCTTATGGTTGGGGCTATTAGTGCGTAGACCGAGTGTGTTGAGGGTTTAGGTAGGGACCGAGTGTGTTGAACTTAAGACATGCCAACAAAAAGTTAGACAAGTGAAATGTGTTGAGACTATTAGTGCATATATTGGAGTTGTTGGTCAAGATATGTACTCCTTACAAACTCGTGGTGGGAAGCTTTGAGCCAGAAATCTCATGGTATTGCATAACTAAGGATATACAACAACGTCGTTCTTCAAAACAACTTTTGGATCAATCGTGGATTTGGAAATGTTCATGAACTTAAAAGTATGTTGGCAAATTTGGATTTTTTCATGATTTTGAAAATTGTGTACAGATTAAAAAATGTTCATGAATTAATTGGTACCTGAATTTAAAAATGTGCACGAATTAAAAAATATTCCAGTGACTTCAAAAAATGTTCATGAATTAAATGGTACCTGAATTTAAAAATGTTCACAAATTAAAAAATATTCCAGTGGCTTCAAATTAAATGGTACCTGAATTTAAAAATGTTCAAAAATTAAAAAATATTCCAGTGGTTTAAAAAAATTATGAATTCAAAAAATATTCACAAATTAGAAAAATTGTTTGTGGTTTTAAAAAATATTTGTTAATTTGAAAATACTTCATGAATTTGAAAAATGTCTGTGAATTTAGAAAAATAAAGAATTTTTAAAAGTTCAGAAAATTTTAAAATCATGAATAAATAAAAGGAAAATAAACATAAAAAGAGAAGAAAAATATAAAAATGATAAATAATAAAAATAAAAGAAAAAACCCCAAAATGAAAGAAAATCTAGAACCCTTCCAAAATTGGATGGAAGGTTCCAAAAAATTCACCAAAACAGTTCCTCATGCTCTTGCTAAATGGGCCAGCCTGCTTGACACACTTATAGATGACCACGACGTTAACAGTTACAAAAGGCGCTACATGGTATTCCTGTCTGAGCTAATACTGTCATCCAACACAAAATTATTGGGCTACATTTTTTTCTTGGACCGTGCATCTTGAAATACCATGTGATCGTGAGTGCCAAATTGTGCAGTTGAACTTTTAAGCACTTAGGTTGTTTATAAACTCAGCATACGGTCTAACTGCCAGTCGCTTGGCGACCAACTCATGTTTTCTCCATCTCAAAATAATCCCTATGTCTATATCTATACTAGTATAAAAAGACTCAAAAGGACTGACCCAGCTAATGTTGGCCATCAAATTATGACAATTGAATGACCTAAATTGCTTTAGTGACGAGCGCTCAACATATTTAACTTGTAGTAATTAGTATCATACTGAATATGGATAATTAGCATTAATTAATCATATACTTCCTCCGTTTCTAAATATAAGTTTTTTAGACATTCCAAATGAAATACAACATATAAATGTATGTAGACATATTTTAAAGTGTAGATTCATTCATTTTGCTTCGTATGTAGTCACTTAGTGAAATCTCTATAAAGACTTATATTTGGAAACGGAGGGAGTATTAAGATATGATCAATATCCACCTAAGATCCGTGTACAATTAATATTCTACCAAATATCAATCTGCTAATATCCGCGTAAGTATTAGTATTTTTCGAGATTTGCGTACGTATTAGTATTTTTTTAGGGATGCGTGCGTATTAGTAAATCATGGTTTCTCTAGCCGAAGCTATTGTGTTGGGCCAAAAGATAATCCAATAGCGTTTATTTTTAGCCCATGACAAGCACGAGCCTGCTATACATTTGCTCTCTGCTTCGTCGGGTCCTCGACTTCCGCCGCCACTCGGCCGCCGGTTGGCGCCTCTACCCGCCGCCCCACTTCGCCGCGACGAACTCCGCCGTCAGATTCCTCCGCAGCGGCGGCAGCCTCGCTTAGCTGCTTGGCTTGTCCTCGCCCACCACGACGGAGGTAACGCCTCCTTCCTTCCATTCTTACCAATCCATCTCCGCGATTAGTGCTAGTTTACACGTGTGATGTGCGCACGTTGCAAGCTCCAAGGGAAGAAGTACCCAGTCATGGATGAAATCCTGGTCATAATCGAGGATGTAAGCGAATAAGATAAGCTAAGCATTGCGTGAAGGGAATGATGTGAAAGCGTGCAATCTTGTTCTCCTAGCTAAGCATTGTTCTGGTCATATACTCAGTAAAAAATTGTAGTCGTGGAGAATACATAAGGCAGTTTATTAAAGTAACAAAGTGGGGCTGGAAGCGTGTGCTGTTAGGCAGGGACGCATACGTGTTATATAGGTCCATGGTGATTGACAGATTACAGAGAGATCAGCCGGTATGATCCCCACGCTAATCTCAATAACCGGCTGATTATTACAACAAGCAGACGCATGCGCTACACCATGGACTTATTCTAGAACATATGGTTTATACAACACCATATACACGTACAATTCAACAATACAGATATACCATTACGGTAATACAGCAAATATTCCACAAAACACAACTACTTTTATTTATTTATTTGGAACTAGCTGGAGCCTCATTGAAATGGCAGCTTGCCGTCCATATTGACCAGTCCTGGTTGCTTGAATGGCTTCGTATGCTTTAGTTTGCTGGCTCGCCTTCCGCACACATCTCCTTGTCAAATCTGTCTCTTATTGCCAGCAACTCTTTCAGAGCACCCCCGATTTGGATGCGATCCGTTGGGGTCTCTTGTGAGCATGAAATCCCAGTGCGCAGAACTGAAGTGATGCAAGCAATTCTCAGATCCATATTTCTGTTAGAATTTGAGCTGCTTTCTTTGCCATCTTCTGTCTCTGCTAGTAAGTCTCGGTCTATGACCTCTGCTGCCCTTTCTGGCAATGCCATTTGCACATACTTGTGAAGGCCAAAGGATTCTCCGAATCTGCTCTCTGTTGGCCTTTTTCCACTGAACATCTCCAGCAACAGTATGCCGTAGCTGTAGACATCACCATGGATTGAAACTTGGTTGCCCAGTCCATACTCTGAAATTGACAGAAAAATGTGAGCAAAATGAAATGAGCAGGTTAAATAGCCATATTTAACTTAAGAGTGGTGGGCGGGGTGTTCAATCTTGAAAACCAATTCCAGAATTTTGAAGGGGGTTATTTTAGAAGAGAGTTAAAAGCTCACCTGGAGCGGCATAGCCGATTGTGCCTCTCATCGATCCCCAACTAGTTGATTTCTCTGAGTCTTGATGTAGAAACCTTGCAAGCCCAAAATCACCAACATGAGCAATCATTTCACCATCGAGGAGAACATTGCTGGGCTTAAGATCACAGTGAATAATTGGCATTGGCTTATGTTGGTGAAGGTATTCGAGTGATGATGCTACATCAATTGCAATCTGCAGTCTCACACGGAGATGCAGTGACCTATTTTCACCATCTTCTATGGGATGGTGGTGTATCCATTTGTCCAAATTTCCATTTGGTAGGTATTCATACACGAGGGCCTTGAAGTCACGGCTTTGAGAATCAATACTTGAGCACACTGTCAATATCTTCATAAGATTCCTATGTCGAACACATTTCAGGGTCTCACATTCTGCAACAAAACTTCGGGATGCACCTCGCTGTGTGAGGTTGAGCACCTTCACAGCAATCACTACTTGCTGGTCATCTATCCTCATTGTTCCCTTGTACACCGAGCCGAAGCTTCCTGCTCCAAGGAGGTTCTCTGAAGCAAAACCATTAGTTGCACTGACCAGTTCAGCATAAGAAACCCTTAAATATTGCTCGCCGATGGATGATGTCTGCTTGTTTGCTTTCATCTTCCTGCTCTTACTGTAGAATGTCGACAGTGCAAATACTAATGCGATAAGTATGACTGCTCCACATATGGAGAATATTATGACCAGTTTCTGAGTTGGTTTCGTGGTGGTGAGGTTGGAGCAATGTGGCAACTTCAGTTGAGGGATTCCATCACACAGGCCATCATTTCCCATAATTGAGGCTGAGGCGGAAGCTGCCTTGCTGAAGATCCCATCTGTTGGAACCTCACCGTCCAAGTTATTGAATGAGAGATTCAAACTAGCAAGCCCTTCCATGCTCCCGAGGAACCCAGGAATGCTCCCTGAGAGATTATTATGGGAAATATCAAGCATCAATAGGGCTTTCATCTGCATGATTGATGGCGGAATTGTCCCTTGAAGGTTGTTCCGAGATACATTCAGAAACTGCAGTGTCTGGCACCCTCCAAGCGAGATCGGAATCTCTCCAGATATCAGATTACCGGAGAAATCAAGTTCCCCAATATTCTTTAGGTTACCTAATTCTGTAGGCAAATCCCCGGTTAATAGATTGTTTTGGAGTCTCATGTAGATGGACAATGTGTTTATAAGGAATAGGTCCCTAGGTATTGGACCACCAAGGCTGTTGTTTGAAAGGTCTAGTTTTTGTAATGGACATGCCATGAGACTAGAAGGTATGCTTCCACTAAGCATGTTGCCACCAAGTTTAAGTTCGCTTAGTTGTGTAAGATTGTTGAATGTGGGAGGGATCGATCCTGATAGGTCATTCATTCCTAGGTTTAACAAATTTAGTCTCTTCAACTTGCCAAGAGAGGTTGGAATAGTACCCTTTAAATGGTTACTATCTAGAAAAAGTGCGCGCAGATTGCTCAAGTTCGCCACTACTTCAGGAATCTTCCCCGTTATGCTGTTATCTTGCATGTTAAGAAACTCTAGATTTGTGGAGACGGTGCCTACCGAACTTGGTATTTCACCTTCAAGCATATTACCACCTAAATCCAACACTTGCAAATTACTGCAATTGCTTAGGCTGGACACGAAACCCCAGTCGGCATCTTGTGTTGCTCGAATATGGTTTTCGGCAATGGTTAATACGGACAAGCTCCTCAAGCGAATTCCTAGGCAACTGGGAATTGTTCCTGTTAGGGAGTTATGAAGGAGCTGGATCATTTGAATCATAGAGGCATTGCACAAAGAGGGAGGAATAGAACCGTGGAATTGATTATAAGCTGCAAGGAAGACCTGTAGGCCTGGAAGGTTGTTTCCCATGTCGAATGGAAAAGACCCATTGAGGTTATAATTGCTTTGTACATTGATAACTTGGAGGTAGGAAAGATTGAATAGCAAAGGAGGCAATGGCCCTTCTAATTCATTGTTTTCGAGGCCAATTTCAGCGAGGGAGTGTAGGTTTCCAATGGAGTGGGGTATGGGACCTGTAAGATTATTGAATGACAGATAAAGGAGTTCAAGCAAGTTGAGGTTCCCTATTGATGCTGGAATTTGGCCAGTTAGATGGTTTCGGCTAAGAGATATGGCAGAGAGTGATGTGAGGTTCTCTAACCCAGGTGGGATGCATCCTGTCAGGCCATTGTTTCCTAAATTGAGTACCGAGAGATATGAAAGATTATGTAATGCTGGAATACTTCCTGTAAGGTTATTTGTGGCCAGGCTAAGAAAGCCCAGCACCGAGAGATTTCCTACTGAACTTGGAATAGAACCAGACAGTTGATTTGAATTCAGAGAAAGTGTGTCTAGTTTGACAAGGTTACCTATGCCAGGGGGTATTTCTCCTGTTAGCTTATTGTTTGAAATGTCCACATACTCCAGGTTCACAAGGTTGCTGATCTCCGCAGGGATGGTTCCTCCAAGCTGGTTGTGGCCTAGATCGAGTACCACAAGATTGTGCAAGGAGCCAAGCTCATGCGGTATCTCCCCTTGGAGCTCGTTCCGGCCGAGCTCGAGTAAACCCAGGTTGGGCAAGGCTGCAAGCTCCCGGGGTATCTTCCCTTTCAGCCTGTTGTATCCAAGGCTGATACTGTCGAGCTGCCGGCACCGCGAAAGCGACGGCGGAATAGCGCCGTCCAGAGAGTTGTCCGACAGGTTGAGCCGCTTCAGGTACCGCAGGTGGCCAAGAGCTGATGGCACGGCGCCATTCAAGCGGTTACCGGCTAGGCGGAGCCTCCTCAGGAATGTAAGGTTGGCCACCGAGGCGGAGACTGCGCCTAGAAGGTTGAGGTCGCCGAGGTCCAGCGCCACAACCCGGCCACGGCGGCGTCCCCGCCTGCCGCACGCCACGCCGTGCCATTGGCACATGGGCGTGGACCGGTTGCCCCATGACCCCAGAGCTTGCAAGGGGTCGTCCCTTATGAGCGCCTTGAAGGACAGAAGAGCAGAGTGGTCGCTGGAATTACTTGCGGCGGTTCCGGCGTGTGGAATGTGTGCTGACCCCGTGCTAGCAGCGAGTGCGAGGAGCAAAGAAACTAGCACGGGGAGCCCTGCGCCTACTATGTTTCTACCAAAGGCTGGCTGCTTTTGCTCACTTCTTTCTGGTTCTGGTAGACACAAGTGCGCTTTCCTGCTTTGCATTGTTATATATAATGGATTGAGCATGGCAAGTTGCTCAATAATTCATGGCTCAGTGAACTTAATTATCTGTTTTCAAGTTGCTGACAAATGGGGTCAACAGAGTACTCAAGTGCATGACTTGTGAGCCAGCATGACTCGTCAGTGCTCTGGTCAACGCAGGACTTGCGAGTCATCCATGGTTGATTTATGCATTGTTGCCTTGTGCAATTGAGAATCTGCCGACAGCGGCAGGAGTGCTGCCATTCCACTATAAGAAGAAATATAGTACTAGCTATGTATTGTATGCCAGAAGAGAAGAATTAACTAAGCATGTTCTCGATGACTTGACTTTAATTAACTGATTAGTTGTATCCCAAGTTGACTACCAAATCTTATGCTGCGTGCAGCCTCTTCAGACTCGCAAGGTTGCCGATCTCCAGTGGGCTTGTTATGGCCTAGATTGTTTACCTTGAGACTGTACTGTACATGGATGGAGTCTGAGTGGATGGAGACTATGGAGTTAACGGAGCTAAATGAAACATCATGGTGTGCCAGGTTAAGGGAGTAAACTCTCTTTGTCTCTTTGCCAAATTCTCGGCCGACATATTGCGGCTCGCCTGCGTTTATATTGGTATATGTGATTATCCTGGTGCTGTTGCATCCGTGTCACTGTCGCGCTGTGTGAAAGGATACATTGTCTCTCGTAAGAAATCCAGTGCTCCTCCAGCTGTTTTAGACTTTGTGCTCCTCTGAAGATTCCTCTCTTGTTGTCGTTGCTGGGGACACTACTTAGCTCAGAGGCGAGAGGTGTCTGCTAAAACATACTGCTATTTGCATGTGAAGAATCTGAACTAGTGATGCGTTTATTTTCTCTGCCGTATTGTCTCTCAGTCAACATTGAGGAGCTGGAAGCTGTTCTGCCGAAAAATGGAAGGAGCCACCATTGTTGAAATGGCCGGTCTTGTCAGGTGTTTTGATAATTGAGAAGTCGCTTTCGAGCTTTCTGCTCAAGTGTTGAATGAGGTCGTCGAGTGGAGGCAAGCCGGTGTTGGTGTTGGTGGTTTGCAATGATTTGTGAGAAGTTAGCCTAGGCGTTTCTTCAGGTGTTGGTGTATTGAGTGGGACTCTTGTCTATCCGAATGTTCGCATTTGTAGTAGACTGGTAAATATTTTCTATTTTCTATAAAATATGGTAATGCTTTTGGTGTACTCTCGAAAAAAAAAAGTTGCCGTCGGAGGAAGAAGGATAGTGGTACCATTTCCTTTTTTATCCATGATGAGGCTGGCAATGACTATCACGTATGATTGGAATTATTCGGCTTTATCATATTTGTTATATCCAATAATTCCTAGGAAAATCTCATAGTCCCATGTGACACGTTCATACATAACAAGGAAGATGCAGAAATATTTTGTGCTAGTGGAAAACAAAACTGAATGGTTGTGAATGTTCCATTCATCTCTCATTGATGACACTAATGTTTCGGTTTCGTTGTTCCATTAGTATTGTGGTTCCGTTTCCTTCATTCCGTGCATGCTGTCATGCAAGAAAGAAGTCGGAAACCTTTTACACTAGTGGGAAATGAAACTGAACGTTGTGAATATTTTCATTCATCTCCCTATTGATGCCATTATATTCCATCATCTTTCCATTAGTGTTTTGGTTTCGCTTCCACTTCTTGAAGTCTATAAGAGAGGTCACTCCTCTTCTCCATATATGCTACTTCAACTCCTACCTTCGGTTTCAAGCTTTGCGCCGCCTATCGATTTCTCATCTCGCTTCTCAGCACCGGGAAGTGAGAAAGTAGGCATCAAAAACTCCGACTCTTGTGATCTGCTACGGAATAGGGGTGATCAGGTTTTTGGAGAGCGCTTTTGCGCCACTGCTGGATCCTTGTTCATCGTAACAACAAACAGTGACATCCTTGACAACGAGTTTCCCAACGACGACTACTTCCCTGACGTTGACCAGCTCCTTGGCGACATGACAAACGGCAAACCTGCATCCTCTTTCATTGCTTTGTATGCCATCTTATCCTCACTTTTAAGATTAGCATTTGCTTTACTGCTAGTAGGAGTCATATGGATATGATCTTGTTTCTTATCATCTCAATTGCATGACTGGTTTCAAAAATTGGTTGCTTGTTTTGGTTATCATCGCTATTATGGTATTCATATTTTATCCACTGTTTTTATGGATTAAACTTATTGGAAAAATCTTGAAATATTCAACAGTCCAAAAACCTGAAATGTGTAGGCAATTTCTCCAATTGCATTTGTTCTGATTTCCAAGCCTCCTATGTCTGAGGGTGTGAAGATAAGAGGTGGCGTGCAAGGGCAATTCTCTAGCTTACCACCATGATCTGTTTTCATGCCTATAAGGACAAGTCAGGGCAGAAAAAGGAAGGCGTTAAGAGACCCTCCTGGCCCAACCCTAGACACTCTAAGATCCTTTTTCAAACCAGTTCTGCTCCCATTTAAGGAGAGGGAGAGCTTACTACTGAACAAGACCAAACTTTCCAGACTATAGACATCCTCTTAGAGGTGTTCTGAGTGTTCTTGGCTACAAGATGTTCGATCCTTTCGTTATCATCATGGTCGGTAAGGATATGTGGGATGTGTTTGAGGCCAATTTTGCGGTCTTGGATGCAGTAAGTGAGTTGTATGTCATAGAGCAATATCATGACTACAAGATGACTGATGACCGCTTCGTGGTTAAGCAGACTCATGAGATTCGGTCGCTCACTAAGGAAGTTGAGCATTTCGATTGTGTATTGCCGAACAAATTTATTGCCTGAGGCATCATTGCCAAACTTTCTTCTTCGTGGAGGAATTTTATTATCTTGCTGAAGCACAAGAGACAAGAGTTTACTATTGTTAATGTTGTTGGCACTCTTGATGTGGAAGACGAATGCGAGGGCGAAAGACACATGTGCTCGTTTTCATGAGGGAAACTATAGTGCCAACTTGGTACAGAAGAAGAATTTCCAACTCTAGAAATTCAAAAATAAGAACTATGCAGGCAAATTAAAGTTTGAAGACAAGAAGAAAGTCCAACAGTCCGCCAATTTCAAGAATAAGTAGGAGACATATAAGAATAAAGGATAATGTCATGTATGAGGTGGAGAACATCATTGGGTTTCATCCTGCAAGGACCGTCGGGACGTGCGTCAGAATGAGAACATGGGCAAGACCGCTAATGTTGTTATTGACGATGTTGAGATGAAAGATGTCGGGTATGGTATTTTTTCTACCGTTCCTTTAGTATGCCATTCTCCTAATTGGTGAATTGACACCGGTGCAAATATACATGTGTGTTATGATATCAACATGTTTTCTTATCAGGTCGCAAGAACTCAGCCGTGTTGATGAAATCAAGTCACATGCTTTTGTGCATGTTGTTGGTACGGTTGATCCGAAGGTTTACTTTTGGAGAGATTGTGCGCTAAAGAACGTGCAACATGTCCCTTATATAAATAAAAATCTTGTTAGTGACTCTCATTTGTGTCGATATGGCTATAAGTTGGTATTTTAGTCCTATAAGCTTGTAGTGTTAAGTGTGGACAATTTATTGGAACAAGCCTTTTTCAATAAATTGTCCACACTTAGACACTACAACCTTATTGGACTCAAATACCAACTTATAGCCATCTCGACACAAATGAGAGCCACAAACAAGATTTTTATTTAGAGAAGGGTCATGTTGCACGTTCTTTAGCCGCATGATCTTTTTCAAAGAAAATTTCAGATCAATCATGCCAACACCATGAACAAACGCATTTGATCCGTTCCCATTAACGCTGATGTAGTTCTTGAGATGCGATAAGAAAAAAACATGTTGATATCATAACACACATGTATATTTACAACAAGCGTCAATCCACCAATCATGAGAAAGTCATACTAATAAAATGGTAGAAAATTTACCATATGTGACATCTTCATCTCAACATCACGAATTACAACATTAGCGGTCTTGCCGTTGTTCTCATTCTGACACAAGTCCCAACGGTTCTTGCAGGATGAAGCCTAATGATCTTCTCCATCGCATACATGGCATTATACATTCTTCTTATAGGCCTCCTTATTCTTCTTGAAGTTGGCGGACTGTTGGACTTTGTTCTTGCCTTCGAACTTTCCTTTGCCCGCATAGTTCTTGTTCTTGAATTTATGGGGTTGGAAACTCTTCTTCTGTACCAAGTAGGCACTAGAGTTTCCCTCATGGAAACGACTATGTGTGTTGTTCGCCCTCGCCTTCTCTTCTACATCAAAAGTGCCAATAAGATTAACAACAATAACTCTCGTCTCTTGTGCTTTAGAGAGGTAGCATAATTCCTCCACAAAGGATGAAACTTGGCAATGATGCCTCCGGCAATGAACTTGTCCGGTAACACACAATTGAAATGCTCAAGTTCCTTAGTGAGCGATTGAGTCTCATGAGCCTGCTCAACAACGGAGCGGTCATTGGTCATCTTGTAGTCATGATATTGCTCCATGACATACAACTCACTTCCTGTGTCCGAGACCCCAAACTTGGCCTCAAGCGCATCCCACATATCCTGACCGACCATGATGGTCATGAAGGGATATAACATCTTATCGCCAAGAACACTTAGAACAACACCTCTGAAAAGGGTGTATGTAGCCTGGAAAGCTTGCTCCTGTTCAAGAGTGAGCTCTCCATCTGGATTGCCCTTAGAGGCATGAAAACAATTCATGGTGGTAAGTCTGAGAACTTCGCTCGCGTGCCATCTCTTGTAATTCACACCCTCCAACTTAGGAGCTTTGAGAGTCGTAATAAATGCAATTGGATAAAAGTTGCCTACACATTTCAGGTTTTTGGATTGTTAAATATTTAAGGAATTTTCCTTTAAGTTTAATCCATAAAAACAATGTATAAGTAATAGCACCAAACCAAGCAACATATTGTTGAAACTAGTCATGCAATCGAGATGATAAGAAACAAGTATTATATTCATATAGGTTGCTATTAGTAGTAAACCAAATGCTAATCCTAACAATGAGGATAAGATGACACACGGAGT